GAGGTGAGGAAGGAGGACCCGGCGTGGCCTCGAGGGGGAGGGGGGGAAGGGGGTGGGGGTAGGGGGGCTGGATAGGGTGTGCGCGGCAGGTTGGGTGTGGGTGTGTGTGTTGGGGGTGAGGGTGTGAGTGAGTGGGTGGTTTGTGTGGGTGTATATGCGTAAATGTATTCATGCTTGTATACACACACAAACACATACATTTACATATATACATGCATATACACATACATATACATATATACATGCATATACACATACATATACATATATACATGCATAAACACATACATATACATATATACATGCATATACACATGCATATACATATATACATGCATATACACATGCATATACATATATACATGCATATACACATACATTTACATATATACATGCATATACACATACATATACATATATACATGCATATACACATACATATACATATATACATGCATATACACATACATATACATATATACATGCATATACACATACATATACATATATACATGCATATACACATACACATATTTTGACATTACGTATAGATACATACTTTCATACATACAGCTATACATTACACATACTTTCATACATATATACATTTACAAACACATGCACACACACAGGGGGGGGGGGGTAAGGAGAGAAAGAATGTGTGGTTGAGTAACTTTTTATTTTTTATTCTTTATTTTAAAATGCTATTTTTATTTTGTGTTTGATTATAATTTCTATGGATGAGGATATAAGGGAGAAAAACAGAGAAATGAGAGAGATTGATAGAGAAAAAAGAAAGTGCACAAGATTGAATGAAAATTTATTTATTTTTATTTATTTATTTTCCATTAATCAGAATATATATATATTTTTAAAATGCATGGCAAAATGTACCTTAACGTTAGGCGCTTCCTCTCCATATTCATAAAATGTCTCAGCTTCAATTCACCGAGAGGAATTTAATGAATTTAGTTAAAAAGTATTCCTTCACTCTCACCCTCTGTGGGGGGGGGGGGGAATGGACGAGATGCTAGAGAGGTTATTCACATCTCCTTTAACGCGTCTTTGTTTTATTATTTATCCCGTTTATTTTTTGCTGTTCTTTTTTTTTTCTTTTTTCCTCTCTCTCTTTCTCTCTCTTTCGTCTTGAAGAGGATGAATTCGAGGTTTCTTTAATGTTTAAATTTTTGAGACTACTTTTTTTTTTATATATACTTTTTTCTTGACAGTTTGGTGTAAAGTTTGACCAGGGTTTTGACTTTTTAGCATAGACAAAGAGACATAATAATAATAATATCAAGGCTATACATTTAAAAAGAGAAAAAAAAAGTTATGAAAGGAAACTTAAAAATAAAAAATGAGTAGAAATGAAATTGTTCATTAGAAAAATAGATATCTTACGCAAATCTGAATTTTCATATAGTCTTTATATGCTATTGATGTGCCAGTTTTGGTTTAAATAAAAAAAAAAATAAATAGGAAAATAATCTGAACCTGCTTTCTTGTGGCTAACAAAACTAACCGAGAGTTAACACATTATAGTTAATGGGCTATAAACCACTGAACCATTTAGATATGTTTTTTTTTTTTAAGATCTTCAAGTAAAGAAAATAACTAATGATTAAGTAAATGTAATAATATTTGTTCTGTTTCTAACATTTGATCAGGGGCATGGTGTGTTTCTATAATTATTATTATTGTTATTATTATTATTGAACTAAACTGAGAGAGTGACTGAGAACCCCACAGATCAGTCCAGTTTGATTTTTTTTTTTTTTTTTTTTTTTTTTAATAGTTCAGACATTTGCAAGAAACAGTAAAAAGCCAGATGTTGTTGATGATTTAAAAAAAAAAAAAAAAAAAAAAAGTTTTATTTATTTTGATGATTTTATTTGAGGTTATATCATTTTTTGTTGCTCATCCAAGAATGCATGAATATAAATATCCACTTGTTTATATTATATTATATTGATTCCATGCCATTTTATGTGAGCTATAATTTGTTCTGTGTTAAGTAGCAGATATATCTTCATCAGTATAAAGCTAAATAATGTATTACATAAACTGATATTACAGGGAAGAAAAAAAGAAAAAAAGATCTGTAGAATTTAGGAATCGTTGCAACTTTCTTGTCATTGGAAATATCAGCAATATTTGCAACAGGAGAGGAGGTGTCTGTGCTAGCTTCCTTTGGCAAGCTTTATCAGCCTGGCTTTTGTGTCTCCTCCTTTTTTCTGTCTTTATTTTTTTTTCCATGTTTTATGTGCATTTCTACTCATATCTGGCTGACATCAGGCTGGAGTTACATACTGACTTTCCTTTCAAATGCCTGTGTTCTCCCTCTGTTCATTATTTTATGTGTGGCTTTTGGCATCAATTAAGCAGTATTATGTATTGTGTTCATTTCATTTATCAGTCAAGACTGTTCACATTATGCAAAGAATTGTTAATGATTTTTTTAAGCATTAATGGCATAGACTAAGAAGTGATAAATGATATTTAAGGCAGCTACAAGTAGCAGGTATTATCTGTTAACCTCATTCCAGGTATAATTTTTAAAGGGATCAGGTTAATATTAGTACCTTTGCGGAAGAGATTTCTCATAAGCATTCGATAACCTTAGTCCTTAACTGCTGGCTACTTGAGAGTTAGGGTCTGCGTCCTCTGGTGAGACAAGGGCCGGTAAGGGTGACCTCGTGGGTATGTGTTACAGAAGAAGGGGTGGAGTCCTATCCCCTGAACACTGTTGGTGGGCCGGGGATGCATGGAGGGCTGGGGGGGCATCTGTCCCCGACCAGGATGCCCTTCCAGTACGAGCTGCAGCACGAGGCGCAGTACGATGCCAGACTCTATCGGGCGTACCCACCCAACAACCGGGCATGAAGCACCCAGGTACCAGCACTCGCACCGGCACACACAGCAGGGACAAATCTACTCATCACATTAACACAGAACAGAACCCCATTACCTTGTACAACAATGAAGTGGCGTTTATAAGGATATATGTCTTAGTTTTATATATTCACTCACTATGACCTCTTATCATCTAAATCTAGTCAGTGCATAATGTATTATGTCTCATTTTTCGTCATTTTGAACCTGATCAGAATTTTAACTTCTTGTGCTAGTATATTTATCTTCAATTGCCTTATTCTGTATAGAATAAATTTTTCATGATATGCAGAGATATGAACTTTCAACAAATACAAATTAATGAGGTTCTTACGATTATATTTTTATATTACAATATTAATACTCTCACCAAGCTTTTGATTGCTGTAGATAGAGCACTTTGCACACTTGCTGATTCATAAAATGTTAAAAGCTGAACACCCTGTTTTTTAATGTGAACACTCCTGCACTGTAATGTAAGTTTTGCAATATACACATACACAGTGCAACAGTGTGTTATGCAGTCACTGATATATTTCTGAGATATTTGCAGTTGGAAGTTATTTGTGTTTATGGAACTAACGGAAGTAGAACATGTCTCGGCTTTCCCCTCTTATTTATTGTTGTCCATGGTTTTGTAATGACTAATTTTGTTGATAAAAGTTGTGTTATAGTAGTTTATTTTGTCACTAATTGTACCCCATTGTCATTTGTAATTAAAAAGTAGCTACAGAGATTTAAATGCCAGTTGATGTATAGACAAAGCCATAACAAGAAAAAGCTATAATAGGCATGTTAAAATTGCAAATTTCCCATTTCTTTTTTTTTTTTTCTTCTTCTTTTTTTTTCTTTTTTTTTTTTTAGGATTTGAGCCTTATTCTTATGATTATGTGCCATATATGAATAGTCCAACAAAATGAAATTTCATAATCTTACCCAGACGTTTTGTGAATGAGTGTTGAAATCTTTTTTTAGATCCACCCATACATAAAGGAATATCATTCATAAAAAAAAAATAAATAAATAAAAAATAAAAAAAAAAGTAGGAAAAAGCAGCATTGCATACAAAAACAAGGTTACCTGAACATCATTTCCTTTACAAAGGATTTTCTTGAAGGGAAAGTTAAACCTAACAGATGAGATTTCACGTACACTGTATTGACTACTGGCGACATCCCTAGCAGAAGTGAACAACTGACAGAGGTGTGTGCCAACGTGTGCATTTTGTATGGCTACTGGCTCGTGCGTTTTGCAATATATGTGTGTGCATTGTCCCGTTTGTTTGCTAATTTTTTTGTTGGATGTGTGTATGTTTCATTTTCCTTACCCTTGTTTTTATTTTTGAAATGACAAGAGAGAAAAACTGCATTTATTCTTGTTTTTTTTTTTTTAGATATACAGCATTGCATTTGATTCCTTTTTTTCTTTTTTTTGCACAAGTTGAAACCTGTTTTTATCTTTTGCCCTCGTTTATTTTATGAATTAGTGCGTGGGACTTTTTAAAAAAAAAATTCTTGACGCTTCTGCTGGGTGTGACGGGAGAGCCTGTGCTGTGTCTACTAATTTAGGTCTGATGCTTGCTGGCGGTCTTGACGCAACCCCTTTTTATGTTCCGAAAATAAAGTATGATCTTGGCATCCTATTTTGATTTTTTTTCTTTTTTCATTTTTTTTTTATTTTATTTTATTTATTTATTTTATTTTTATTTTTTTTTCTCCCCCCAGATGAAAATGGAAGTATGGAATATATATCGTGTATGTTAAATGCCTGTGGTACTAGTCTATATTTGATATGAAAAATAATTCACTAGGCTTATTCAATGGTTTAGCAGATGCCCTAGTGATTTTTTTTTTTTTCTTTTTTCTTTTACCATTTTTGTAGGGTATGTAAAGGCTATAATTTTGCTCGGAAATAGTCTTTTTACTTCTTGATTAAAGATGTGCTTAGGGTGGATCTTGAAGAAATATTAGTTACTCCACAGATATATGTAGCACTCAGGTTTTTATATGTATAACTATATTTTGGTCTTTGTGCTCATAAAATTTGTATCTTGTAGTTAATCTGAAGTTAATAAAAACTAGTAGTGAATTATTTTCTTATCTACATCTCAAGCATTTGCCAGTTAGTTTTGAAATGGCTCTGGTTATACCATTACTAGGTTTTTTTAGGAGATATTTTGAAAACATGGAACCTAATGATTGTACGTTTTTCTCTATAAGTTTTTATGTATGTATCTAATATACATTTGTTTTTGTAAAGAAGCAGTATGCCATTTTTACATAATATTTATTGTATGAATACCATCAGTGCCAGAGAGAAGATCCATAGCTTAGTTATTTATTTTTGAAAATTGTTATTGTTTTATTTACTCATATTTCTTTAACTGTTATGCCTTTTCTGAGGCTTAGGAAAACAGATTAGTTTAGTGTTATATTCAGAAACCCTGAATGGCCGACAGACCACAAAGCTTCGGCCAAGCAGGAAACCCAAAGCACAAGGAGAAGTTCCGTGTCTTAAGGCGTATTCGTGCCCAGAGCAGAATTAGGGTTTTATTGACTTGATGGTCGGAGAGAAGACTGATCTCTTTTAAACAAAAAATGGCACATCATCACAATTTCTCTTAAATATTGTTAACTGGCTGATGAAATCTACATCTGAAGAGACATAGACAGGTTTCGTAAAACCCAAAATCGTTATTCAAGAAGCTAAATACTTTGATGACTTTAAATATCAAGATAAAAGTCATACTTTGACAGTTTTGAAGAGCAAGGTAGTGGTCTTCATTGGTTGGGAAAATTCATAAAGATCAATTAAATATGTCTATAGGATGCTATTCATTACGTAGTCTTAGGGATTTTCCCTGTAAAGTAGCATTTCCTAAATCCCGGACTATATTTCTTTTTTTGTAAATTTACAAAACGATTTAAACTATGTAAATATATAATTAACCTCTCTATGAAGTCTTAAAAAGGCTGTCACCACCATTTGGAGCATTTAAATGCATCTTAAACTAACCTATTTTAAGTGAACTAAACAGGAGAAGTGTGTCTTAACAAGAGTTGTATTATTGACCCCATAACTAACCGTCTGATGAAACTTCACACTGTGGACTGTCTTTTAAAAATCATGTAAACCAGTTGGATGTAATTTTACTGTTGGGATCCTGTCTCCTTGTAGCTACTAACAAAACAGGATTACAAATTTCATTTTCTGAATTCATTGATTCTATATGTATATACAGTGCTTATGTATATATGGTTGTGTGTGTATGTGTTTGTGTATGTATATATATATATATATATATATATATATATATATATATATATATATATATATATATATATATATATATATACACCCACATATACCCACATTCATATCTACCTATACATGATTATATATAAATGAGTATGATTGTGTATTTCCCTATCCTGCCCCACTCAAGTTATCTCTTTTGGTAAAGTTCTTTCATGACGGACTTCTGTGTAATATGGTATTAATTGCTATAATAATAACTAATTATGAATATTACTTCACAATGTCTGCTTTATGACAACCTGCTGAGTGGTAACTTTTTGGAGTAGAAGCACCCCAGTTTTATCACTGCCCCTTTTATTGATTACCTTTTAATTCTAATAGGAATTGAACCATACAGTTAGGAAAATCCACTTAGACTAACCCTGTTTTAACCCTCCAGACTCGTCAAGTGTTGGCAGTGACGAAGACGCGTACGACGAGTGTTCCAAGCCGCCACCAAGGTACAATTACAATGCGCTCCGAGCCCAGCACTATGACCAGTACAGGCCCGCCAACACTTCAAACACTACCTCTCCATTAGGTAAGGGATGAATAGTCACAGCTCCTTGCTGGCCAGTTATGAGGAGGGAACACAATGAATGAGATGTATATGATATTCACAATTTGAGGATGTGTGTGTGTTAGATTTAAAAGCTACTGATAAAGAGGGAAAGTAATGATGAAACTGAAACTTGAATGAAATGTATATTTATAGGTAATGTATACTGAATGTTAAAAGAAATTTGTGTCAGTATAAGTCTCATTGTTTAAGGTTAATTTAAATGATTTTGGACTCCTTTCCAGGATTCTTTACCAGCTACAAGGTCATCTCTAATATGTTTTCATCCTTTTTTTGTTAGGCTACCCAGTCAGCATGTATGGACACTCTGGAACACCATCTGTTTACAACGCATCAACTTACAAGTATGATAGTGGTTTTGGCACCAACAAGGAAGAGATTTACTCTGGCTCCAAGAGCATGTATGCCAAGTCTCCTCCTCTGCCACGTTCCTCGTCCCTCAATCGCTCCCAGTCTGTCTACACCAAGCCACCACCTCCACGCATGGATAACTACTCAAGGAACCTTGCTCAGTCTCAGAACTTGTGCCCGAAGTCTCCTGCAACCTTCACAGCTCTGTCCCACAGTGAGAGCATGTACAAGAATAACCCACGCCAGGACTCCCTTTACATCACCAGCAAGTCTGGCATTGTGAAACCTGAGCCTGTGTACGGGACGGCCGCATACAACAAACAACATGACTCCGGCGACTCCAACTACTCAACCTACCGCGGCTCTACGGGCTACAGCTC